ACTCACTCACTCACTCACTCACCCATTGACCCGTCCATAACATACCCGACGCGCCGACTAAGAGGTATTTTTTTTACAAAAAAATAACTCAAAAACGTATAGAAAAGTTCCAAAATCTCCAAATTTAGCATATAGCCAATTCAGTTAGTATAGCTTTCCTTCAATGTGCCTAATGGGCTGTGTTAGGTTTGCAAAATGTACAGCCACCATGTTTCTTCCTACGAAGGATTGGGTTTGATTCCTGACTGAGATGATTGTGTCTTTGGGAAAAACACTTAACTCCTGCAGTACAACACTTCACTCAGTAAAAGATGTTGTAGGGGTGGGGGACAGGGAACTTGTAATGGACTAACATTTCCATCCAGGGGGTGTAGCAATACTTCTAGTTGCTCAGGAAATCAGAACACATTTCAGCAGTGTGAAAAAGGTTGGCCTGAGTGCAACACAACAACTTGTACAGTGTACAGTTCCATTTTCTTATCAGGGTGTGATACTCTGCAGAAAGAATTCATACAGTTGACCTCTATTCCTATCATTTCTATCTTAGGTCATACCTGTGTTTTCTTATCTGCTGTATTGTTAGTCTATCTTCTGGATTTGCATTAAGCATACCTAAGAAAACACAAAAACAATGTTTTTTTTTCATTAGGGCATGGAAACAAATCCTGTAATCTGATTTGGTTCTTAGTGTGGTTCGGATTTTCCTATCTTTCCATAAAGCTTTCCTGAGTTTTAAAAGGGATTTGAGAGCAAGGAAAAACAAATAAGTTACATTTATTTACCAACTGCTGCTAGGGTCAGCTCATATAAACAAAAACTGTGACCTCAAACTTGAAAATGCGGGGCAAGAGGAGCATGATATCCATGCCTGCAGACAAGTTTTGTGGATATTTTCACAGTGAGAATAGCCATTTAACTTTCCTCTCACTCTTCATGCAGTTTTACTTTCTTGCCAAACAAACTGGAAACAAGAGTGACTTAGCACCTTCCTTTATAGGTCAACGTTTAGTCCACTATAATCCACCAAGGAGTTTAAGATCTGTTGGAAAATGAAATTAATGTCCGATCACTCGAGCAAAAGGTTCCTGTTGTAGGTACTGAAGGCCAGAAGAACCTGTTACCCTGCATCTAACCTAAACTGCACTGCCTCTTCTCTGCACTATTACCTCTTAGAAGGTCAGCCAAAGAATCATCCACTTCTTCAGGGACTGTAAACTCTCCTCTGCCAATATTCTCAAACAATTTATAGATATTCTCTCCTTCAAAGGGATATTTTCCCGTAGTAATGTTGAACCTGGGAAATATTACAGATGTTTACACAAACTGAGAATTCAAATTAAAAACAAACCTGGCTCAGGAGATGTTCATAGCCCTACACAAAAGTGCTTGCCTGTGATCAACTTGACATAAACCATTTGCAAGGAAAATATCAAATTAAAGTTGTTTACTAAACTAAAAACCGAGCCAAATTCAAAACCACAACACAAAACACAAAGCTTAATAATATTTAATTGCCTCCACAATAATTAATTTGTTCTTTTATATATCAGAATCCATAAATTAAAATTCATGGCATGCCAAACACCTACAGTGTGACTCCAGCAGCCCATATGTCAACTTTAAATCCAGAAAACGTTTCTAAGCCATTTGCAATCTCTGGTGGTTGGAAAGCAGGAGAACCCTGGCTTGTCCTACAAGTGTCGTCAACAGCAAATGGTTCCAACCGCTACAGCAACAAAAAGTAGTTGAGAAACATTCATTGACTAGAAATAGCATCATTTTCACATCAAAAATGTGAAAAATGTGGGCTCACTTAAGAAACATCCCTGGAGGATCTCCATGTAATTTAAGCAAGGTGAACACCCATAATTACTTACCAGAATCCCACTTAGGAGAGAGGTATGGTTTGAATTGATTTTACCCCTGCATAGGAGGTCTTTTGATGGATGAGTGCTCTGTGAAACTAGCAGAGCTGCACAGTGCAGAGTGCAGAGTGCAGAGAAAAACCGATTGTAAATACAGAGAGCATGATACATGTACATGTACAGTCAAAGTGAGAGTGCAAAGTATAGAAGACCTTTTTAGCTTGGGAGATTTGTTGTCCCATTTCAGACCATGTGATGATACTCTTGGGAATTCTTGCTTTCGTATTGTCGAATAGTCATGTGTATATGAATGAATAATTTTTAGACCGTCCAGGCGTTCTGTGGACAGCCACTTTTTAAAGAAAATTGTTTTATTTTTCATATGTTTCTTTATAATTGTTCATTTGAGCAGGCCCTATAGCGCATTTTGGATGACCACTAAAAGCCTGCTGTTTTATATGGATAAAAGAACAATTCTCTACAGGATATCACATGGTCTGAAATGGGAAAACAAAATGCCTAAGTGAAAAAGGTCTATTGACTAGTATACTGGGGAATGCAAAGCACAAAGTGTGTATTCATGTACAGCTGTTTTGAGCAAGATTGGCCTCAAAAGTGTAAGAGTGCATGTGGCAATGCTGAAAGTTAAGTTGTATGTATTATGGCAAGAAGTGGTTGCTGTTGTTTGATCAAATTACACAGCATTTCAAGGCAAAGAAAGATGAAGCCACAGATAAAACCATTAATTATTTCTCCTTCTATCGGGCTAAAAACCCCTGAGAACTTTGACCAACCACTGGTAAATTACTGACACTATGCATAACTCATTTTGGCTTTGCTGCAAACTGTAAATCCTCTGTTAACCCCCCCCCCC